AAGCTGCCGAACCTGCAATCCAAGAGCTTCAATTAAGAATTTCAATTGATTAATTTTAAAATTCAATCAAGCTAAAATTTAACTAATTAATAATTAATTAAACCATTTTAAATTTATTTTAAAATTTAGTTTAATTATCAATTAAAATTTCTAATTTACATTAAGTTCTAATTGAACAATTAATTTAAAACTTAATTTAATATATTAATTAATCAAAATAAATCAAAACTATAATTAATTATAAACCAAGTCTTTTAATTAATAAACGAATGAATTAATTTTATTCTTTTAAGTTAATTAAATTAATTAAGCAACTAATCTTAATTAATTATTTAATTAAATTAATTGAGTAATTTTAAATAAGTTAATTAACAAGCCGAGCAGTTAATTTTTAATTTAGAATTTAATCATTTAAATTAAACGAAATTAAGAAAAAAATTAAATGCAAGTAGAAGATCATTGAGGGGAGAGCTGCTTTGATAAATTATGCATTTTTGAATTAAAAAAATACAAAAAATCCATATTTTTCACTCTACAAACCTAAGTACAATGCACACCAACTAACACCAAACACCCACTAACACAAACTCCTTAAACTAAGAAAACAAAAAACAAAAAAAATCCGAAGAATCCCTAAGGCCAACTTTAAATCCTTCTTAGTGGTAAGCTCCAGATTCTGTGCGGAAAGCTCTGCTCGTGCACTCTTTAGGCACAAACATATGCAGACAAGTAAACAAAAGTAGCAAGTGGTGGTAAGAAAACTAGTACAAACAATTGGTACTGAAAGAAACGTAGTTAGAAAAGTGCTAGCACTGTAAGTAAAATACTTATTGCAAGCAATACTATGGTGCTGAAACAAACAAGTAAAGCTACTACTGCGAGTTAAAAGCGTCCTATTGTAAACAAGACACTAGATTATAGGTCGAGGCAGTGGAGGCACAAACTTAAGTATTTCTAATGCGAAAGCCCTTGCTAATCTAACTCCCCCCCCCCAACACCACCACACATGTAGCAGAAGAGAGGAAATCAGTGAGCTGGTTGGAGGTGATGATATATTTTGGTACTTTTTTTTTCCTCTTCTGCTCTGTTTAGAATATGGAACCATTTGTTCCACTAGCTCTTTGGTAGCTAGAAATGCTAACATTAGAGCCCAAAAATAGTAGTTTAATCCACTAAACATCCCCAATAGTATGATGATGATTAGGAGAACAACTAGGATCGCTAATATTGTAAGTAAGGTGCCTGTATACAATTCTCACACCATTGGGTAATTCATGGAAGCCAGTAATTATAATGTGAGAATTTATAGCTGATTTAAGTTTTCGATTAAATCAGGATTGGAATTGTTTAAGTCATTAATTCCCTCGAATTTGAATTCAAGAAAGTTTTTTATTAGATGATGTTCCTATTGCCACTATGTCATGAGATTTTCACCGTTTGGGTGAGCCTTGAAAGCCAGCTTGAGAGTTGTGATAAAAAAATTTGTTCTGAATAATTTAGTTGAATACTTTCAACTCTACTACTAGCTATGGAGGCCCCTCCAAGTTCTTTCCCAAAAGGGTAAGTAACATCCATTTGGCCAACCCCTAGCCAATGATGGGTTTTAAAAGGCGAAATTCGGGAAGTCGAGGCGTTTTTTCTAGGCGAGGCGAGGCGTAGCTCGAGGGCGGATCGAGGCGTAAGCCTCAAAACGATTAAAATAAATTAATTTAAATTATAAATAATAAAAAACTAACAGAATATATGTCAGTCAACATTAATTTGAAGTTTGTTTTAATAGTTTAGTGGATACAGAATTTAAAATACCTACTTTAAAATAAAATCCCTTAGGATCAAATGACCCAAGCAGGCTATCATCATTCGATTGTCTTCAGAAGGAATTCTTCATTAATTAATGTCAAAGTTCATCCTCTACTCTTCTTCATCATATAAATTTTTTTCCTTTATTTTCTCCTATATCAGTTAATATGTTTCATTAGCTCTAAATTGAAACATAATAACATACAAAAAATTCTATATTGTAAGGAATAACTTTAAATTTTTTTGAAGCTCCAATTCACTTTGTTTCTTTTTTTTCTATTTGAGTAGTGCTGCTTGTCTTCTTCATTGACATGACTTTCTCCTTATGCTTCAACTGTCAAATCATCAACTTCTTTAGGAGTACTCATTCATCTCAGATTGTACTAATCCAACAAGCAAATGCGTCATTTCATTCTCAATATTCCTTGATTTCTGCGATTGAGATGTCTATCTTTTCAGTTTTTTTGTTAAACATAACATAAACTTAATTTGTTCATTCGAATCTGCCGCCAATGATTTTTCTTCTTTGTATGAATTTGATTGAAGATCTCCAAGACGCTCGGCAATGCAGAAGGCACACATTGATCTAAGACTTTACTTGCAAACTTTCCAATTAGGACGGATTATTCTGCCAAACTGAGCGCCCACCAACGTTCTACATGAAGTCAAACATAGCTATTTAATATATATTGTTGAAGTTGAAGACTTGAACATAAATATTACATTAATAATTATAAATCACAAACTACAAACATTACCAGTTGAGATCGTGTTGTGTAGCATGTTGTGCTGCTCTAAATCCAACATTCCCTTCTTCAAATGAAAATTCTCAAGTTGATCATTCACTTTGAGATATTCTTCTTCAGAGAATGAGTGCTGGTTCATACATGCATACAAAATCAGTTTCCCCTTCTTTTGTCAACATGAAATTCCTTATATAATTGAAAGTTGGGATTTAAATAGTACGCGCAGCATGTAAAGTGTTGGTGTAATTGCTCGATCCCCACGTTTTCATCGTATAATATCCCATATTCTCTGTAGGCACTTTCTTGACCTCCCAATTTCTTCTGCAAAGTCTTTCTTTAGCCTATTCATTGCTTCATAAATAAATGCTCATAGCGGCTGGCCCTCTCACCATCAACTATTCTAAGCACCTTTTACAAATGATCATCGTGTCTTTCAAAGGCATAATTTATACTGCGCAAAATACATCGTCTTTCATAAACAATCTTTTTAACTTGTTTTTCCTTCTTATTTGGCCAAGACTTTTATGCCACTTCTTTCAGAAGTAAACATTGTTCTAAAGGTGTTTAACTCTTTGAAAATCTTGCAATGATTAAATATGCGAGAGCAAATCTTGTGTAACAGCAGGCTAATAATTTCCTTGTAGTGAATTTTTCTCAAGCTGATCAGTACTCAAGATTGATTGTATATAAACTTACTACGAATTTGGCCTAATATGACTTCGATTTTTTCTAATTTTATTGTTTTTTGGGCGGGAGGCAACTATTCCCAACCCTGCTCACAGCATTCAAGTCAAATACATGGTTGCGTGCACAAGGAGTCAGTAAAGGCGAGGCCTTCTTTCTCCATTACATTCTTCCTGCAGCTTTGTATGCACTTGCATTATTCTCTAACAACGTACTACTAGGCGTCTCCACTTCCTCCATACATTATCCAACATTTCAAATAATATTGTGCATCCTTGACAGCTTGAAGCATCTACTGATTTGAGGAAAAAACTATCCATATGGATTATTTGACCAAGAAATTAATAATACTTCTATGTCGAATATCTGACCAACTATCTACATTATTGTCATCATCTCAATCAAGTCTTCTTAACAATTCATCCACCATTTTGAAGTTGTCTTTAAACCTCCTCATTCAACATTCCAAGTCCTCAGCTCCATACGATTGCTTGAAGTTGTATCCTCTTCCATAGGCTTCCAACAGATCGTAACATATTGCATCCACGACGACCTAACAACATTAATGGCAAATCCCATTTTCATCAAATTGGAATCTGACGCATTTCCAAAAACTCTATTCCTGGCTCTTTTGTAGCTGTTACGAGGCTTGAATATCCTGGTAGTTTATGTTTTCATACGTTATCAATATTTAGCTAATTCTATCCATGGGCCCCGACTTCCTCGATCAGAAGAAACTAATGGCATCCAGTACTTGAACCTTCCATGCATAGCGTGTGATTTTCCATTAGTAAGAAGAGTTTCCTATCATCTATTCCATATTTCTTTATATGACACTCCTTTGTGGGCAAACTTCTTTAAAATATTTTGTACATCCTTCTCACCTCCCAGGAACTTGCACATGGTCCAGCATTGACATGAGTTGCGGCTAGATGATTCTTTAATCTCTTGAACGCAACCAGTTATGCTGTTTCTCAACAGGAAATTACATTTCATGTAACATATCCTTCTTTGCACCCTTCGCCTGACACTTCAGATGAGTTCCATATTTCCATGCAAGATCTTTCCTTCTTGTGCACTTATCAATGTAACAATAGGATATATTTTAACCAATTATGTCACTACCAAATATCAATAATAAACAACATGAATACAAAAATATACCGTTCTGCCGGGGGGTCCAACGCGGTGCCCCTGCGGGGTTTGTATATGCCAATACCAAGCGTACCGAGCAATGTACCGCTTAGTTACCGAGCGTGTATCGAGCATGTACCGGCTCGCGGTACCGAGCGGCGGTACCTTGCTCGGTCAACTGAGCGGTACTTGCGTATACCGAGCGCTGATGTTCTTGTACGTAAGTATCGAGCATGTACGTTGCTCCGGCCTCAAGCAGTTGTACTGAGCAATACCGAGCATGTTTTACCAACTTGTGAGCGAGGAATATTGAAGAAGAATAACGGGGAAAGAAAGATCGTTACCTAGTCGTGAGAAAAAGACCTTCATTAACAGAAGCTGTGAGAAGAAAGAAGCCGAGACATGAAGCACAATGACTGGGAAGATACGGGAAGCAAGAGAAGAATGAAAGAAATAAATCGTTACTTCGATTTCGCCTTCAGCTTATTGTCCGACTCGACCGACTTAGTGGTCGTCCAACGTTGGCGGAGTTCGCTTTCAGTTCTCACTCGACAGCGAAGAGGTATGTAACCTAATACTCGACTCTTATACGATTCTCACCGCGTCGGTCATATACTTACAAATCGAAGCGCGGTGCCTCGTTTCGCTGCGACGGCGTTACGAACGAGCCTGACGCCCGTGCGAAATAGCGAACGCTCCGCCGAATCCAACGAGGCGCAAGCCTCAACGCACAAATGCTTCGCCTCGCCTTAAGTCGCGCCTTAGTGCGTACGCCTCTTCCGCCTTTTTAATTGTTGGGCTCTTGATAGATTGGCAGTAGTAGCATCCACTTGAAGTAATTTACTAAAAATTGTGCTAAGAGAGAACACAATGGATTGATAGCATTGGCTGAAATAATAATCCAAAGACATGAAAATAATAAAAATTTAGGTGTTAGATATGTAAATGTATAAGAATTTAGTGGTATATATATAAATTACCCTTTTTAGTATTAATTTAATGATCTTTATTCACTCTCTCTTTTATTTGGGGGGATTTGGGGCTTTCTCTTTTCTGATGAGATTGAGTGTACTTGAATGTGGAGAAGAGTTTTTTCATGAGCCCTTTTATTTGCATAACCATGTAGCTTCTTAATAGTTGATTGGATCCTCCTATACTGTGGATTTTGGCAATTATTTTGGCCAAATCATGTAAATTTTGATATTTTGCCCTCTCATCATTCAAGTAGTAATTTCACGATGTTGTTTTTTTTTTTTTCACATTTGATCATTGTTTGGAACTATTCTTTGGCCACCAAAATGTGGCCTCAAACTTCCAGTTACAACCAGTTGCACTCAACTCAACCAGTTACCATTCTGGAATGGAAGATTTTTATATCCACCTTGCAAAAAGTGGGTGGTCTGTTGCCCCTGATTTTTCTTAAAATTAATTTGCTTGCGGTGCAAACAACTAATCCTATCAGATGCATTATCCAAATTTGCCTAATCAGTTGAGCTTCATGATTTTGCAAGGTTGGCATAATATATATATTTTTGTCTATTATTGTAGGTACTAGATGCACTGGTCTGCCTTTTTTGCCGGTGTAATTTATCTGCTGAAACCCTATGGACTGGAGGTTGGCTTTTAAGGCAGCTCCTTCCACATGGAGAACAAGAATTTACCCTTGGCCATCTTCAGCAGCTCAAGGTAAAAATGATTAATAGTATTTGTGCTGGATTGAATTCTCGCATTCAGCGGGCTATATTATTGTTTTTGGATGATATAGTGGTTTATGGCATAACTTCTTATAGACTTCTGATATTTATAGTATTCCACTTATTATGATGTGAAACAACAGGAGTTATTTAAGAAATTAAAGAGAGCAAATTAACAAAATAATGCCAAAATAAAGTTATTACTTATAACAAGGATTGATCATCGGAGTTCTTAGTCTTTAACTTGCTTAGGCAAAGAAGAGCGAAGTCGATTAACCAAACAACTCAAGAAAACACAAAGAGTAATTGTAAAGCTACGACGATAAACAAAAATCCACGATTTAATAATGAAAACTTTCACCTTTGGATGGCCATACGCTCACAATAGTCTAGGCTTTAGCGGAAGAAAGACGTCTCCTCACATTAGAATCGAGAAAGGGGGGGGGGTTTCCATTTACCGCCGAACTAAGAAGGAACCAGGCATCGTCGACTATCTCTTAGGATAGCCGGGCAAATGCATCCTATGGTCGGACCGGGAGTCAGTTTTGGGAGGATGATTGTCGCAAATACAACAATGATGATCCTAACGGTCAGCCTTTGACGCTCTTGCTCGCCTGTGCGAATGCACCGTCAACTAAGGCCTGTAATGGATTACATTCGATTGATATTCTTCAACGAGGTGATGAGCTCTGCTACACCCTTACGTGACAGCGGAGATCTTGTCGTCGAAATCAAAGCCCACCGTCAAAGAATGACGATTTGGGTTACACTGTCGACATTGATCTCGCTCGTTATAGCACAAATCCAGAAGTTTTATCTCGGGTCTCCTCCGCCATGCGTCATCCTCGCCCAGGAGCGTCGG